AAACTGGCATGAAAGTACTCGGCGTAAACCAGATGTCATGGCGACTGTAAAGAAATCACAGGGGATGAAATATAGTCCATGGCTCGGGGCTTCTTATGTACTATTCTTGCTGTCCAAGACAAGTTCAGATCAGATTGGAGTAGTACAATGAGGTGTGCTAAAAGAGAGGGAATCGTGGTCCTGTCTTCATCCCTCTTCCGGGGGAACTAGGGTTGACAGATCTGAGTTGGGAAATTATTGGAGATTAGGGGTGCGGAGCCTGAAGAGGGCATAGTTTGGGGAGGGGGGACCTCAGTGGAGTAAGTATAATGCCATAGAATGTACCCTCCCCCCAAAGCAGCCTTTTTCTCCAGGGAAACTGATCTCCCAAGCCCGGAGAACAGTTCTATGTCCAGGTGATCTCCAGGCCCCACCAGGATGTTGGTAACCCTAATTTTCTGCATGATACATTCTGGGGGCCCTAAGACTGGCTCATCAGGGAAGAGCTACAGTATGCAGGAATTTTGGAAGAGTCCTGGCAAGGTGATCCAGCCCAGCACAACCAAGGCACCATGGCTATTGTGAACTAATCAAGGCTATAGTCTAGGGTAGTGGCTCTACCAGTGGGACACAGAGGTAGTGTAGGTGGGATGCATAACAATTACGAGGAATCTATTCTCTCTCAATCCTCAAAATGTGGCATTCCATCTCCTGCTGACCCTACCTGCCATGGATTATCCATCTGTGACCTTTGGGCATGCTGGTAGTAATAATAGAATGCCTGTAAGCATATAAAGATCCTCCTCAGGAAACAAGGGCTTTTTGTTTCTATCATAGTGGGACCCGGGTTCTTTGATGAGGTGATTGGTGGGATGTGAGGGATGAAAGACTGAGAACCACTGCCCTAGGCCTGAGCTGCCATCCTTCCCTTCATACCAACGATTCCTTTGCACCGGCTCTCATTCGAACAGGCCAATCAGGTTCTTCACAGCCAGCTCTTATTCAAATGGACCAATCTAGCTTCTTTCACATCTCCAGTCCCTCCCTCCCTTTCTCTGATTGGAGGAGAGTTGTGGCTGCTCCTCCTTGCATTCTTTTGCCAATCAGAAAGGTTACTTAAAGCTTCCTCTTAAAACCAACTTTTGTTTTCTATTGTGCTTGAGCCCCATGTCTGAGTTCCCTTCCCACAGGCACTCTGTGCACTGCTATCTCATGACCAGCATCCAGGGCTATTTTTGGGCAGGAACGCACAGGAATGGAGTTCCGACTGGCTCCCAAGTTGGCCACGCCCAGCAGGAACTTATGAGCATAATAGGCCACACCCAACAGCAGAAACTCATTAGGATTGGCTACATTAGGGGTGTGTGGCCTAACATGCAAAGAAGTTCCTGCTACAAAAAAAAGCCCTGGGTTTTGACAACAAACAAGATAAACAGAATAAGAATCAAAAGGTGGGTGTGGCTGGATGACCACATTTCTGGTAACATGGGGGTGTGGCCTAATATGCTAATGAGTGGTGCTGTCAGGGTGTGGCCTAATATGCTAATGTGTTTCTGCTGTTGGGTGTGGCCTATTATGCTAATGAGTTCCTGCTGGGCTTTTTCTACAAAAAATGCCCTGCCAGCATCAAATTCTTTTCTAAAAGAAAAAGATGCCAGGACTCATATATATGGTTTTCTTTCCCTTCTCTGCTCACCCCCCTTCTCTAAGGTACCTTTCTGTGGAGGTAACTACTCGGTGAGTGCCAGAATGCATGTAGTGGTTAAAGTGTCAGATTAGGATCTGAGAGACCCAGGTTCAAGTCTCCACTTTGCCATAGAAGCTCACTAAATGCTAGAGTTGTCAGGCATGGCCTTGCAACTAGTGGGAGTCAGTGGACGGGGGGAACATAGAGGCACTGTCTGCAACAGCATGATGTCACTTCCATGGAAAAACCAGAAGTGATGTCATACCTCTCAAGGAATTGCTGGAAACTCTATGGAACTGTAGAGTTTCTGGCAACTCCTAGAGCAGCACCAACAGCTTTTTGAAAAATAGTTAATTTTTCTCCTGCTGGCCACAGGAGCAATGGTAGGACACAGGAGCCAGTGGGAAAATGGCAGCCCTACTAGGTGCCCTTGGGCTAGGTACTCTCTTTCACCCTAACCTACCTCACAGGGTTATTGTGAAGGTACAATTGAGGAGAGGAGAATACGTAAACCACTTTGGGTCTCCATTGGGGAGAAGTGTGGGGTAATGTGGGATATAAATCAGAATCAAGTAATAGTTTGAAGGGCTGTGTGGTATTCGATGTGAAATATCCTGCCACATTGCTCTGACTGCTGTCTGTAATCCTCATTCTCCTCAACAAACTACCTCTGATTGTTCCAATTTATTGCAGCCTCTCCTTTCTATTTCTAAGCTTGCCTTGGAGCTCTGTCACTTTCCATTTCCCAAACCTCTGGACACACAGTATGGGCGTAGACTTTCCAATTTCCCGGGGGGGGCTGGGGCTGGGCCAGAGGCATTGCTTTGCTAGGAGCAAGGGTGGCTCCCGGGGGAGGCTGAGCACCTTCCTGAAAATTTCGGCGGGGGCTGACGCCCCGCCGCCCCCACGAAGATTACGCTCTGAGCTTGGACCTGAGGCCTGTTCAAACGGACAAGGAAGTTTACACATGTTGCCCTGAACACATTTGATAACTGTTGGCTCTGGGTCCCCACCCTATGTCACATGTAACACAATCACATGTGAGTTGTAGGTTGTCCCCAGTTCCAGAGCATGCGGAGCTCAATTAGGATTAAGACCATGACAACACACGTAGAATGGCTTCCTCCTTCCCCAGACATCGTTTTCCCTGCCTGAAACAATCACAGGGCTGTTGGGGAACCCCGTGTGTATGGCTGAGAGAAAATGATGGGCCCAAGGTTAACCAGCGGCAGAATTCCATCAGGATTTGAACCCAGGATTCCCAGATCCAGGTCCAGCACTCTCACCACTGCATCTTTTATCCAGAGGCTGACCAGACCCTTCACTTACTGGGAAAGTATCCAGGGGGAAGCTGCCCCACAGGGCTGTTCAGGTCTGACCCAGCCAGCAGTGATAACAACGGGTGCAGGTGCACACATCACCAAGGCAATGGCTTATGCCCGTCATAGCTGCTGCTTGACTTGGCTTGCTCCTGGGCAGGGCTATTTTTGGGCAGGAACGCACAGGAACGGAGTTCCGGCTGGCTCCCAAGTTGGCCACGCCCAGCAGGAACTCATTAGCATAATAGGTCACACCCAACAGCAGAAACTCATTAGGATTGGCTACATTAGGGGTGTGTGGCCTAACATGCAAAGGAGTTCCTGCTACAAAAAAAAGGCCCTGGGTTTTGACAACAAACAAGGTAAACAGAATAACAAGCAAAAGGTGGGTGTGGCTGGATAACCACACTTCTGGTAACATGGGGGTGCGGCCTAATGTGCTAACGAGCTGTGCTGTCAGGGGTGTGGCCCAATATGCGAATGAGTTCCTGCTGTTGGGTGTGGCCTATTATGCTAATGAGCTCCTGCTGGACTTTTTCTACAAGAAGAGCCTTGCTCCTGGGTCATTTTAAGCTTCCCAACCCACCACTTCCCAACCCACTACAAAGCAGGGAGACCTTTATCTTTGCAGTGAGTGGAGCACTGAATCCACCACCCTTCTATCCCTCCTTACTTGCTCATAGTCATCTGTCCCCACCATTTCTCTGTTCCCAACACCGATATGAGGAGGAGTGAGGCAAGATCAGAGAAGAGTGGACAAAGCAACAGAGGCAAGACAGGGAGAGAGGTTCCCAGCTCCTGTCCCTAGGGCTGCCAACAACCCTGGATGATAAAAGGTCCTTCCCATTTAATATAGGTTTAATGTGTGTGAATGGGCAGGGAAAGCTTTTCCTGGCATGGAGGTAATTACCATCACCTGGTTTTTGTTTTGTTTTTAAAGTCCAATTAAGCTTCTGTTAAAGAGGCAGGGGATTTTCTTCCCCCTCCAGTTGTTGCTCCAGGGCATCTCTTCTGTGTCCTGCGTTTTCAGTCTCTTCCGTGCCTTTCTGTTACTAAGACACACCTGTTCCCCCCATACGCACTGCTTTATCTGCCAATACTACAATGAAAAGGTAAAACTCTCCCCAAAAATATTTTTTCAAAGACAAGTAATGATGCTCATAGAAATATATCAAATATACTGAATATATAAACACATACAACACTTCAAGAAAATGTAATACACATCATAAAGTCTCACAAACCACAGAATAATCATTCTTGAAGGAAATGCTATCCTAAATAGCCCACAAACTATCCTAAATAGTCCACAAATACTGCCTCCAAGGGGCAGTAACAGTCCATAGAAGAAATATTGTCCAGTATACTGCAGTGGCTCAAGTGGTTAAGATGCTGAACTGCAGGCTGTGGAACGGAAGTTTGAGACCCGAGTGTGCTGCATGACGGAGTGAGCTCCCGTCTCTAGTTCCAGCTCCTGCCAACCTAGCAGTTCGAAAGCAAGAAATTGCAAGTAGATAAATAGGTACCATTTCAGTGGGAAGGTGACAGCGTTCCGTGCACCTTGGTGTTTAGTCATGCCGGCCACATGACCACGGAAATGTCTTCGGACAGCGCTGGCTCTTCGGCTTTGAAACGGAGATGAGCACCGCAACCCTAGAGTCGGATTTGACTGGCTTTCAAGCAAGGGAACCTTTACCTTTATACCCTGACAGTATCGTACGTGATGTTCATTTTTTTATGCCCCCTGAAGGGGATTTTTATTGCTTTTTCTATAAACTACAAACTATAATGAAAAAATAGGGAGGGAACATCTACATCTAAGGAGAAAGGAAAGAAAACCACTAATAACTAAAACCCCAAATATAGGAGTTCATCACATCAACTTTTATAAGTGTTAGTCTAAAATGCTTACATTACATTGAACATAGTTGATTAAACTAAATTATTTATCTTTTTAACCATTTTTAACTGTTTAAAGACAACCCCAAGAGCATCATTTACAGTATATGCTTTAAGGCACCATTCAGAGTCCTTCAGCCTTCACTTTGCTTTATCTTTTCTAATCCTCAATTGGTATTCTCGTTTAGGGGCAGCCGCCCCCTCGTACATGATGTTCAGACCGTTTTGAAGAAGATCTTTCATCAAAGGGTATAACAAGGTAGGTACAATGACCATGCACAGATCAAAATCCCATTTTGTAATAAGCGGAGCCCAAAGCCTCGTAACAAAGTCACAACCCAATGGTATCAAATCTGGCAGGACAAAAAGACACCTGAAAAGAAACAGTGCCTTCCGTCTCATCTAGTCAGTGGTGCAGTTTTGGGCTTGATGGTGTTACGGGGGCTTCCCTTTAGACAGTGAGGCATGCTTCCCATGAAGCTGAGGGGGCCCTGCTAAACTTGCAAACCGGGGGCCCCAGAGGCTCCCACTGAGATGGAATCCCTGAGATGGGCAGAGGCAGACATGACAAACTCACCATTTGTATCCATTATCCAGCTTGGGGGGGGGGGGCGGTGTTGCAGTTCTCAGCCAGTCTCGCAGCCCAGTTTGGGAAGGTATGGACCTGGCCAGATTACCCTCTGTTCTGCAATCACTGGTGTAGGAGCAAAGTCTGCACTAGTTATATCCCGAAGTTAGTTGCCAAGTCCACTGATAGCTAGCCGTGGACGTTGCCGTATCACTTGTGACGGTGGGACTGCAGCGTCAAGGCTGAAGGCTCAGAAAAACAAACATCTTGTCGGATTAAAGTCCAAGCAATTTCTTCAATAAAAGGACCGTTCTCCATCCTACAGTTAGGCTTCTTGAGGTTGCCGATAATGAATACAGAGAGAATCGATTGAAGCACGGAAGACAGACTTGGCTCTCTCCAGGGCTCAGCCCCAGGATACATTTTCAGGAAAGAGTTTAGCCCTGCAAAGAGAACCAGTGTGGTGTATTAAGGGGCTTGAGAAAGTCTGGTTCAGATTTACCACGCTGCTACAAATTCACTGGGTGGCCATGTTACAAGTCCTTTCTTCTTATCCCAAGCTACAAATTTTATTCAGCTCCTTGGAGGGGTGCTGGGCACCATGGGGGCCCAGCAAGCATGCCATTTAACCACCTTGGGCAGACATTCTCCTCCTGCTGGGCTGTCCTACCCACCCTGTCCTCTGGAACCAGAGGAAGAACAATGGGAGGGGGTCAGAAATGATGTTGCGCCACTTGTTGACATCACGTCCAGACAAAAACCTGCATGCAACATCAGCTTGTCCAGGTTATTCCCTGGTTGTCGCCACATGGAGCACCACCATGTCCACCCCTTGTCCTGGCACCAAAGCTCCCAGGAGTGCCAGGCAGCCTGTTGTTATTAGAGGCAATTTATTTATTTTAAAAATGATATCCTGCCTTTCTAGGCGCTCCAGCCGCGGACCGGGAGTCCCCCGGTAAGAAGATTTTTCCACTTGCCAACCCTATGCCTTTCCTAGTGGTTCAAGGTGGCTTATCAGTGTTCCCTCTAAGCTGAGTTAGTGTGAGCCAGCTCACAGTTTTTTAGCCTCTGGCTCACACATTTTTGCCTTAGCTCAGGAAGGAGGGCTCCAGAGCAAACTAATTTATGCAGTAGCCAAACCACCTGCTCACAACTTTAATGCCAGTAACTCACAAAGTAGAATTTTTGCTCACAGGACTCCATAGCTTAGAGGGAACATTACAATAATAGTTTTTAAAGATTTCAGTTTCAACCAAAGATAAAATAGCAAACCCCAAATATCTCCCCCCTTTTAAATAATAGTTTTTAAAGATTTCAGTTTCAACCAAAGATAAAATAGCAAACCCCAAATATCTCCCCCCTTCCCTCCCTTAAAAGATGCCGGCCATTCAAACTCGCTCAAAAGCCCTGGCAAACAAACAGGCCTTGCAGCAGCTCCTGAAGATCTCCCAAGTTGGAGGGGGGGAGCCTCTCCAGGCAGCCCATTCCACAGAGCTGGAACCACAACAGAAAAGACCTGGGCTCTGCTTGATGGCAGATGGGTACCCTAAGTGGTCGGATAGCCAATTTCTGACAACCTGACAACCATAGTTGGTGCACAGGGACATATGAAAGGAGCCAGTCCTTCAAATATGGGGGTCCCAGGTTGTGAAGGGAGTTAAAAGTCATGATCAGCTTTGAACTGGACTTCGAAACAAACTGACAGCTAGTGTAGCTATTTCAAAATGAGCAAAACATGTTCCCAGCAGCTAGCCCCTGACAATCGTCAGGTTGCTGCATTCTGGACCAGTTGTAGTTCCTAGGCTGTCTTCAAGGGAAGCCCCATACAGATCACGTTGCAGTAATCCAACCAAATGGTTACAGAAGCATGGATCAGCATGGCCAGATTGACTGAGTCAAAGTTACAAGAGAGTTGAGTGAGTCAGATGCAGCAGTTGGTGAGTCAGATGCAGCTGACAGAAGGCACTCCTGGCCACCATGCCAATCCTCCTTTTCAAAGAGTAAAGGAGGGTCCATGAGAACCCCCAAGCTCTTGACCTGCTCTGAAAAACTCAATGTCATTACATCTAGGACAAGTGGATTCAGTCCCTCTAGTGTATCTGCCTTCCCAGCCTGTATTAACTCTGTCACCTGGATTCAGCTTCAATTTATTTTCCTGCCTTAGCTGCCTAAGTGTTGTGTAAGCTGACCGCCACCGGGGGCCAGCGGTCAAACAGAGCTGCCAGAGCTTGACTCTGGAACAACAATAGGGACTAGGCTCCTAGTCCCTCCACTGGGGAGCCAATGGGATCCGTGGCGGGAGATTCAAACCCACCAATGGTGACCAGGGGTGTGTCCCCAGGGATGTATATAGTTGGCCCCCGGGCCATTGTTCCTGTTCCTTGTTGTGTACCGAATAAAGCGTGCTATGCACTACGTCGTCGTCTGTCGTTTCTCCATGCGGCAACCCACTACACAATACTAAGCATAGCCTCAAAGCACCGGTTCAGAACCTAAGCAGATGCATCTGGAAGCTTGGATAATGAAATATATAGAGCTGGGTGTTATCTGTATATTGAGCTAAGCAAGCCAAATGATAAACTTTCTCATTGATGTTTGGTTTGAACCTGTATGGTATGAGGAAGAATCGTTGTCAGGGAGCCCATGGTGGCTGTCAGCGGCCTGGGATACAAACGCAACGAATAACTGATTGGGAGGACATCGACCGTTATGGGGAAATCCTGGTGAGCCAATGGCTTGGAGGTAGAACGGCCAACACTGACTTTGGAGATTCCTGGAGATTTGTGGGTAGTACCTGGGGGAGGGTAAAGTTTGATAGGGAGAGGAAATGGCTGCTGCGGGGACAGGGGAAATGGTAGTGATGATCTTTGCCGAGATCTTTCCCAAAACTTCACAGTAGGAACAAGTTTTGGAAAGATCAGGGGAAAGTTGGTGAAAACTTGGGAAGTGTACAATGCATAAGAATGCCATGAGGAAGCAGGGCGGGAGGGACAGTTCCCTATAGCATTCAGGCCAGTTTAAACAACCCACACTGAGAGAGCGCATAGGGTACATTCCCTTCACTAATGATGAATAGAACTAGGACTGCCAGTTCTGACTTAGGAAACTTCTGGAGGTTTGGGGGATGGTGCCTGGGACGGGAAGAGTTTGGGGATGGAAGTGAGCTCCTGGGGTGCCTCCGCCCTCCATAGTTTATGTATTTGTGTATTTATTTTTCATATTTATAGCCCACCCTTCCCACGAGTGGACTCAGGGTGGATTTATTTATTTATTTATTTGTTAGATTTATACCCCGCCCTCCCCAGCAGGCTCAGGGCGGCTACCACAAAGGCAATTGCCATAACAACAGTTAAAACATCATAAAACAATCATTACACAATAAAAACAATCATTAAGTAAAGTGCGGTGCTCTTGATGTTAAAAAATTTTCTCAATCCAAGATGGGTTCATTCATTAACCTAACCTGACAGCATGCATTCTTTGGTTACCTAGGCATCTGGGCGTCTGCCCAGGGCCGGCTCACCTCCAGATCTAATCCACCGTCAAAGATGGCAGCTCGGTGGTGGTACAGTGACGTCGGCGGCTCCTATATACAAAGGCCTGGCGGAAGAGCTCCGTCTTGCAAGCCCTGCGGAACTGCGCCAGGTCCCGCAGGGCCCGAACCTGCTCTGGGAGCTCGTTCCACCAGACAGAAGCCGCCGCTGGATAACACAATAAACCAGTAACACAATAAATATGATTAAAATTTTAAGCACAATAATACAACATTAAAATTGGCAGTCACAGCCCAATGTCAGAAACTGAGTGGTTGTGAGAGGTTCCCTGGCTCGTTGCTACAGATAAGTAAAGTAAAGGTAAAGGTTCCCTTGCTCGAAAGCCAGTCGAGTCTGACTCCAGGGTTGCGGTGCTCATCTCCGTTTCAAAGCCGAAGAGCCAGCGCTGTCCAAAGACGTTTCCGTGGTCATGTGGCCGGCATGACACCAAGGCGCACGGAACGCTGTTACCTTCCCACCGAAGTGGTACCTATTTATCTACTTGCAATTTCTTGCTTTCGAACTGCTAGGTTGGCAGGAGCTGGAACTAGAGACAGGAGCTCACTCCGTCATGCGGCAACTCGGGTCTTGAACTGCTGAACTACCGACCTTCCACTTGGGCCACTGCAGCAGATAAGTAGCCAGGTGTTATTGAATGCAACACAGGGGACAGAAACCTCAGGGAGGCCATATATGGACACCTGCCACCTCAGCCAAAGGCCTGGTGGAACAGCTCCATCTTACAGGCCCAATGGAATTGAAGAAGATCCTGCAGGGCCCTGATCTCAATGGGGAGCATGTTCCACCAGGCAGGGGCCAGGGCCTGGTTGAGGCAAGATGGACGTCCTTTGGGCCAGGGACCACCAGGAGATGTTGATCCATAGAGCGTAATGCTCTTCAGGGTGTATATAAGAAGAGGTGGTCCCTCAGATACGTTGGTCCCAGGCTGTGTAAGACTTTAAAGGTTATTATCAACACCTTGAAGCGAATCCAGAACTCAACTGGTAACCAATGCAGTTGGCAGAGCACCTGCTGAACGTGAGCCCGCACAGGCATCGCCATCAGCAGGTGTGCTGCTGCACTTTGCGCCATAGTTGCCACTTCCTGCAGGGAAACTGGTCTTTGTAGTCTGGAGGTCAGTTGTAATTCTGGGAGAAATCCAGGTCTGCTTTGAGGGTAGTAATCCTACAATTTTTGAGAATGGGGTTGGTTTCCAGGCAAGCCTTAGGAGCAGTGCTCCTTTTTTCAGAACATAAGCACTGACTGTGCTGAAGTTGCTGTGGGGAGAAGCACCCTGGTCACAGCAAAATTGGGAGGAGGCTGCGGCCTTGGATGTGAAGCGATCCATACTGAGGTGAGCCCCTGTGTAACCAGGGCTGTTCATCCTCAGAACAATGAACTTGAGCACAAACAAAAAGACTGCCTGGGCCACCTTTACATACTGTAACGGGTTTGATCCAGCAGCTTTATGCTGAGTCAGAACCTTGGGGCCAAACTGAATGTGCGAGGAATGGCCTTTCAAAAATGAACGAGACCCTAAATGGGCTCAGAATACTGCCTTGGGAGAAAGAAGAGCTCCTGCTCCTCTCCCCTCCTTATGTCAAAATAGCATTGGGGGAGGGGGAGTTATTCTCCCATCTTTGCTGCTCCGTGTGCACAGATCACTCCACATGGAGCAGCAGATATGGGGAAACAGCGCCCACCCCAGTGCTGTTCCGGTGATTGAACCTGGGACCTTCTTCATGTAAGGCAAAAACATGGAGGAGGAGATGCGGTTGCATCGTAGGATTGCCAGGTTCTCCCCCCCCCCCACAGCCTCTGACAGGGGGTGGGGGGTTAGGATTGCCAAATCCGTATTGGGAAACTCCTGGAGATTTGGAGGTGGAGCCTGGAGAGGACAGGGACCTTGGTGGGGTACAGTCCATCCTCCGAAGCTTCCATGTTCTCCAGGGAAACTGATCTCTGTAGTTTGGAGATGAGCTGTAATTCCAGAGGATCCCCAGGCCCCACCTGGAGGCTGGCATTCCTAGACTGAAGAGCCAAAGAAGGAAGTTAAAGGGAGACAGACCTACATCTGAATAAACATCTGAGGACCTTGTCCATGGAGAAGCTTTAACAGGGAATATCCTGGAATATTAAATGCTGTGTAGAATCACAGGTTCAATTACACATAGCTGAATGCTGAAAAGGGATGTTAAGCAGAGCAAAAAGAGTACTGTGTTTTACTTAGTGTGTTTTTTTAGGGTTTTTTATTTAAATTTTTTATTATCAGAAAATAGGGTTAGTGATATATTAGATAAACAGTGCAATCAAGAAACTATTTCAACATGTTGTTGTTGTTCAGTCGCACAGTCGAGTCCGACTCTTCGCAACCCCATGGACCAGATCACGCCAGGCCCTCCTGTCTTCCGCCGTCCTCTGAAGTTTGCTCAAGTTCATGTTCGTTGCATCTACGACACTGACTAACCATCTCATCCTTTGCCGTCCCCGTCTTCTTTGACCTTCAATCTTTCCCAGCATCAGGGTCTTCTCCAGTGAGTGCTCCCTTCTCATTTGATGGCCAATGTATTTGAGCTTCAGTTTCATTATCTGGCCTTCCAGGGAACAGTCAGGGTTGATTTCTTTTAGGATTGACTGATTTGATCTTCTTGCAGTCCAAGGGATTCTCAAGAGTCTTCTCCAGCACCACAGTTCAAAAGAATCTATTCTTCGGCACTCGGCCTTCCTTATAGTCCAACTCTCGCAGCCATACATGAAATATATATACTACTATTACATTTACATAATATGTTGAGATGGTGTTTTACTTAGTTAGTGTATTTATTGGTTTTCCCTTACAGGCCCCAAAGCACCTTTCAGCAAACATAAGTACAATAAATAATAAGTATAAGAAAATAAAAGCCATCTAAATAGCAAGAACAACTCTTGAGGCCAGACCAGAATCTGATAGGTCGCAGTCCAAGGCTGCAGTGCACGAGTTGCGGGCTCAGTGCCAAGAGCCCTTTGGCTCTTGCTGTTTGACTTGCATCTCTTGGCCTTAGCCAAGACATATATCTGAGACGGGCAGAGCAAACAAAACCACAGGGGAGATTTTGCAGCCTGGCAGCAATGCTCCTGCCACTCTGCCCTCCCTGCTCTACGAGGATAGTGGGACGTTCCTGCTGTTTTGGCGAGCACTCAAACAGAAACCTCCTTTGATCCAGCTCAAAGTGAAGATTGCAGGCACAGCTGTGTTGCCAAAATGGGGTCGTTAACCTGGCACATGACATTCCAGTTAACACACACACAGAGGCAGTGGCACTCAGTTGAATGGGGGTGGGGGACTTTATTCCAGGAATAAGGGGGATGCAGAAAGGCAAATCAACTCCACCCATTCTGTTCCCACTTGACCGGAGCTGGGGTGGGTTTTTATAATCCCCACACAACTGTTTTTTACACATGCGCAAGCTGCATTTTGTTCTATTCTCATGGTCAACCTCTGCATGTCAGCAAGCAAGCAGATACACTTCTCTTAGCCCAGCCTTAGTGATTTCAATTGCTGGCTGCAGGCAAGGGAACTGGGGGGAAAGTAAAAGCCTGATCCACATGGATCCTCATAACAGATCCCCCACTTCTAAAAAGAGAACTCCACCAAATCCGGTATCAAATCAGGACTATGGACTGGACCTTAAAAAACACGGATCCAAAACTTTGAGGTGGTGCATCAGCACAAAAATGTGGATCTGAGGTATGGATCCTCTTGAATTCATATGATTTAGGAGCGACTGTGTTGGTCTGAAGTAGGAATCCAGTGGTTCCTTTGGTCTTAAAGGTGCTACTGGATTCTAACTTTGTTCCCCTGGAAAAGAGCCTTTCCTCCCCCCCCCCCAACTTCTCTAGCAAACAGGTCTGTGGGTTTAACCCTTTGAATGCTGCAGACAAATGAAAAATGCTTGCGGTCCTGTCCAGGAGGAGCGGCAACCAGGCTGCCGTCAGCAACACCCTATGCAGGTGCATGGGTTGCTCCGGAGTTAAGTCTGCACGGGCTGCACTTCCATTGTATCCTGTGCCGTTCAGCCATCTCAGAAAAAAGAGACCGAAGGTGGTTCCCAGTTCCTTATTCGTATTTCCTAGTTCCTGTTGCATGGGTAAAAGGTAAAGGTAAAGGTTCCCTTGCTCGAAAGCCAGTCGAATCCGACTCTAGGGTTGCGGTGCTCATCTCCGTTTCAAAGCCGAAGAGCCAGCGCTGTCCGAAGACGTTTCCGTGGTCATGTGGCCGGCATGACTAAACACCAAGGCGCACGGAACGCTGTTACCTTCCCACCGAAGGGGTACCTATTGATCTACTTGCAATTTCTTGCTTTCGAACTGCTAGGTTGGCAGGAGCTGGAACTAGAGATGGGAGCTCACTCCATCATGCGGCACACTCGGGTCACGAACTGCTGAACTACTGACCTTCCAGAGCCTGCAGTTCAGCGTCTTAACCACTTGAGCCACCGCAGCTCCCATCCACCTGGTATTGGGACCATAATATTCAATTAGGGGAGGGGATTAGACTTTGTTAGATGATCCATCAATGTATTACCCCATGGAGAGAAAACGCAGGTCCTCCGTGCGGGCAGAAAGGCCCCGTCTGGGAGTCTTTAACGAGATCTCCGAGAAAGGAGGCTGGATTCGGACCCCGCCGCGCCCTTCAAGTGGTTGCTCAGCTCCGTACTCGGAAAGAGCCTCAGAGCGGTTTGGCCACCGGAAAGTCACCCTTCGTGGGGCAGGATTTTTAGGAAACAGTACTGCGGCGTCCTCCTCTGGCAGACGATATGTTTGTCCTGACAACTTTTTACAATTTTACGTTTGCCGGTGCTGAAGAATGTAGAAAGAAAGGGGGGGGGGGGAGAATGGGACCACGGTGTTAGGCCTAGTAACAAACAAAAAAATCACCGCGAATGCAAAGACGCTTTCTGAGACTAAAGTAACTTGGGGGAAGGAGTGACTCTGAAAAGTGTGGCATTTAATAGGAGGGATCTACTAAAAGGAAGGACAGGATTGCCCATTGGAAACAATGGGAGACGGTGGAAGACCCATTGGAAACAATGGGAGCCAGGAATGCTATTGACTTGCATGGGCTCCATTGGAAAACATTACAGCGGATTGCTGGCACAAATATGTACCTGTCAAAAAAGCCATGGGCTAATGGTTAGTTGAAAATCAAGTCCAGTGGTAACCGACCAGTCTTGTGGTACCGACGTCGTCCTGGCTGAACAGCAGGTCAACAGAGTGCCAAGAGACTCAGATCCCCGTCTGTCCCCGACCGGCACCCTGCTCCTGAGAAGGGATTCATTTATATACAGCGAGCAGAGGGTGGGTTATTTCTGAAGTTTCCATGCACAAAGAAACAACCATTCTCTCTCCTCATTATCTCCATGCCCGTGTTATTAAGGAATCGTAGCGTGTACGTCTTTGTTTAATCAACACAAGACTCGCTGAAGTGAATAGGCGGGGAGGAACTACATGTCCCATAAGCCTTTGTGTTCCCCCCGCCACCAAAAGCAGGAAGAAGGGGGCGTGTTCCTTCTTGTGCCGGCGAGAGCAAATGCGGCTTGGTCTGCATCGTCGTGAGTAAGATCAGTTCCCCTGGGCAGCGAGTGGGGTGGGAGAGACTTTAGGATTGTGGTGCTAGAATGTGAAATCCCCCTAAGTGGTAATGAATGGGAAATTAATTAATAACTGTGATTTGGCTGAGCTTTAGACACGTTCACTTTTGTAAATACACTTTTTTAAAAACCCCCCCCCCCCCCCCGGGCATGATAAGAATAGTCGGGATAGATCGGACAGATCCGGGGCATCTCATCCTTAGCAATGTATTTTTCAGTCCCTCATCTTGGTTTCACTGCCACGATTAGCCCCTTGTGCATCGTAGCTGATATTAACTACTAATTAAATTTAAAAGTGGCTTTGAGCAAGTGCGGAGTGCGTTTCCTGAACTAATGCCTTTTTAAAATTACAGAGCGTCAATCCACGTTTTCTGATTGTACCTCTTTGTGTAAACTGGTAGGGAGAGTACCTCACAGGGTATCTGTTGTGGGGAGGGGAAGGGGAAGGAGTTTGTAAGCCTCTCTGAGACATCTTTGGGTAGTGAAGGGCGGGGTATAAATCCAATCTCTTCTTCTTCTTCTTCTTAATGGAGAGGAAATTCTTGGCGAGGGGCATAGGGTGCATAGGGGTTGGATCTTCCAGACTAAATTTCCCATCAACAGAATGGCATTTTCATCCTCCTTATTCTCCACCCAGCCGGGACGTATCCCAGTGAGCTCCATGAAATTTTGGTTCTGAAGGATAAGGAACCCTGAGGGATGACATAAATAGGGGAGATCTGCAGCAGGGAGAGAGAATCTGTGGGAATGGCCAGTTTAGTCTGGATCTGGACTCTAGAAACATTGCTCACCCTAAAGTTTGCATGATTGTTTCCACATTTAAAATTCAAGGAGAAGCTGAAGCTACAAGAACAACCCTCTATGAAGAAACTTAGAGTCCAGTGGCACCTTTAAGACCAACAAAGTTTTATTCAAGGAATGAGCTTCTTCAGACACAATGAAATGGAAATAGAAATAACAGCCATACATATAGGGGGGTGGGCAGTAAATTAGGATACAGAATACTGAAGATGTTTTTAATAGATTAAAAGAATAGCATGCTTAGTTATATGGCTATCCTCTGTTTGGGTTCAACTGGGGGGGGGGGACATAGCAAGGAAATAAATATGTCGGAATCGGAGATTGATGTATCCTTAATGGTGAGAGTCTGTCCTTAGGTTCCATCAGTCTCAAACATGGAGGTTACCTTCTGTAAAGGTATTTGTAAGTTAAGTGGATGTTTTCTGCTCATTGTTTGTTCCTAAAAGTGCCTTTTCCTTCCAGGTTTGTGCCCTGTTGTCTCCTATATTGGTCTTGCATAGATTTCTCCCATCAGCCATGATGAAAGACAAAGAAGCATTCCAGAGACTCAGTTTCCTTTACCAGGTGAGAATAACGCACTCTGTATATCAATGGTGTGACGTCCTCCTTATTGGGGAGGACTAGTTTCACTTTAAAAGTGTTCTTTTTATTTTGTTCTACTGGGTATTTACGGCTGCCACCAGGAAATGTAAAGATTTCCAAACCTTTATACTTTTACTTCTGCTCTTACTGGTTAGGTAGACCGAGGTCAAGGCTTACAAGGGACTATGTGGTCCTGGGAAGTATTTATTTCATTTATTTTTTCCTATTCTCTCAGCCTTCCTTCTGTTTCTCACTGAACTAACTGCACTTATCAACTGTCAAAACTGTAACTGTCAAACCTGACTGACATACATACTCATCCACTCATTTTCACTTCCAAAACCCCTCCCCCTCTCTGTCAACCACCAATCATACCACGCTTGCTTCTCTCAACCACTCTAGTCTACTTACCACTGCCATGCAACCAAACTTTTAAAGAGACACACACACACCAAAAACAAGGAATTGTTACAAATGGTATGCATTAACAGTGTGGGGGAGCGTGTGGGCTTCTTGTGTTTTCCCCCCTCCATTTTCAGAAATGCACACAGAGTTTGTCTTTCAAGTGTGCACATGCATGTGTACACAGATTTAAAATAGGAAAGGTTGGATAGATGCATTGATGGGCCTGAAACACGCTGTGGACAGGAAGACTTGTTTGAGGCAATGATTTCTGTGCTGAATCCCATTACAAAAACAAGGTGGTGAAACTTGGAGTCAGTGGATCCTGGGAACAATTAGTTACTGCAGAAAATAATTGTCCCATTTGGAAGGGTTTCTAGATTGTTTATGTTACTATGCCAGTTTATCGCCAGTGGCTGCTAATAAGGAATTGGATACAAGTGGATCTTGTATTCATTGGTGCCCTGCATAGTAATCTGCTCTTGTTGCTTCTCCAGTGTCTCAGGCAAAAATCTTTCCTAGCCTTGCTAGCCGAGATTCACTTTAACTGGAGATTGGACCTGGGGCTTTCTGTGTACGGAGCAGATGCTCTGATCCCCCTTCCACACCTGCTATCTCTTGCATTCACAGTATGCAGTGTACCTCACTGCAATGAGTCATATTTCTGCAATGGGAACATTGTATTTGGCCTTCTGGACTAAGAAGGCTAGCTCCTCTGTAAGATCCCACCTCACAGTGTGCCTGTGGGAATGTAGAGCATACATATCCCTGGCTGTATTTATGGGATGCAGGTTTCCTCAACAGCTTCATCTATCTTCTGTTTTTCCAACAGGCAGCACATTGTGTCTTGGCACAAAACCCAGACAACCAGGAGTTGGCTCGTTTCTATTGCCATACGCAGAACAGCATCAGCCGACGGCTCGTCTTAAGACAGTGAGTGCTCGGGTGGAGATTAATGGAGCACAGGGCCTCTGTCTTAGAATCATATAATCATAGAGTTGGGAGGGAGATCCTGAGTCATCTATTTCTCGGGCTAAACATTGGCACTAGTGCAGTTCTGAGCATCTGTATCTGGAACTGTTCCTGTCTCTGCTTTTCAGGCTAACTCTTCACTGTTCTTTTATCCAGGCTGTCTCTTAACCACTCTTGGGCTTTTATAGTTAAATGGGACTCATCCAGAAACCTGAGATCAGTGGGTGAGGCCCTGCTTTGTATTCTAACTTATTTAGAGAGACCCCATGTAGTGGTTAAGAACGCTGGACTAGAGTCTGGGAGCCCCACGTTCAAATCCCTATTCTACGACGGAAGCTCACTAGGTGATCTTGGTCCGTATCCTGTCTCTTGGCCTAATCTATATTTCACAGGTTGTGGGGATAAAGTTTGATGGGGGGGGGAGAATATTGTAAGCCACTCTGGTTCCCTTTCAGGGTGAAAAGTGGGGTGTAAATATCAGATACATAGAGACTGCTAAAAGTAAGGCTCTCTTGATAAAAGCTGCATAGCAGTGAGGTAGCACCTTAAAGACTGACAACATTTATTTCTGGATAAGCTTTTATGAGTTAGAGCCCACTTCTTCAGATGCATGAAGGGTGCAACCATTGGGCCTGCTTTTATATAAAGCAAGGGGAAACCAGGGTAAAATGTGTCCCAGTCTTAATAGTTGGCGTGGAACTATGGCACTCCTTCCTGTGGTGTATGCACTGGAGGATTCTTCTAAACTTCACTGCAACACCTCCCTCAGCCATTTATCTCACACTGTGCTCTCCCTGTTAATGTTAAGCAGTTAATGTTCCTTCCAGATGGCTTTTGGGAATTGATGCTGTAATCTGGAGGTTCTGGAGTTTCCTTTCCTTGAATGTTCTGTGCCCAGTTTTTCTCTGTTTTCTTTTTATATGATGCGTTTTTAATTGGTTTCTTTGAAATTTGCAGTATTGTACATCTCTTTGAACTCTTTTGATCAAAAGCTGGATAGAACATTTCTTGCGAGCCAGTTAGTGAATGAAAAAATAGGTAGGTTTCACCTACCCTCTTGATAATCCTTTAGGGAAAGTATCTTATGGATGTTGAGTCTCCCGAGTGCTTTATTTACATTCTCAGACTCAAAATTCCAGCATACCTATAAGGAAGGCTAGTATTATTATCCCTGTAGTGTAGGTGAGAAGTTCAGGCAGTGAGATTTGAGGTGACTCATAGCTTATGGCCCTAACCACCAAGCTGAACCAGCTGCCCTGCTTCTTAACCCTGCCGTCTCCAGGTATTCTACATCTCCCTCTGCCACCCACACACTCACGGACACTATGGACTGTAAACCCTCTGCACAGAGATTGAGTCACTCACTGTTGTAATGTAGCTAGGATCACCAAAATTGGCTTATCTGGCCTAGAGGTTAAAAGGACTGACTGTGAGAAATGGGAAATCCCTGGTTCCGATTTCACCTGAGCCATGAACATACATATACCTCTGTGTGTGCGTATAACATTTAGGTATTTTTTTTCCTGTGTTCCTCCCTGATGAGAGGTCTCAGAGCAACTTACAACGAAGTAGAAAATGCAATTGAGACAAACAAAAGAGGAGAAATACAACTCAGTTCCAACTCCTGAGTTGGTCCTGGATTCACTAAGCTGACTCACTGTGAGCTGAGGGCAAAGTTCCAAAGACCTGCACCTCTGGCCATGCCCAGGCTAAATACTTAGAACAGGAGCTCAGCCCGGATCCTGTTCAGTTGGCAAAGAAGTGTGCTTCCGAACCTTCCTCCGCTCATACTGGATCATAATCATAATGATGATGGTCTGCTTTACAGGCTTGTTGTTGTAAGGATTAATCAAGTGTGGATAAGAATTCATAAGGTAATGCATTTTGAGTGCTGTGGGGGAAGGGTATAGACTTTTTTTTGTGCAGAGGATGAGCAATGAGATCATAGCATGAATAGCAAAAGGTTGTGCTCTTCCATAAATAAGTTTACAACATGCACTACCAATCATAGCCATCCCAACCCACCATCCTGGCTCCTTCCTTCCTTCCTTCCCTCCCTCCCTCCTTCCCTCCCTGCTTGGGCTAGAATCCAGCAGACAAGTCAAGCAGATATTAATACCATTCCGAAATCAAACTGGAAATGGGGGGGGGGATATCACTAGTATTTCTGTCTCAGTGCTTGTTCCCAAAGACAACACTCAAACACTATCTTGAACCTCACAATCGGTGTTCCCTCTAAGCTGAGTTAGTGTGAGCTAGCTCACAGTTTTTTAGCCTCTGGCTCACAGATTTTTGTCCTCGCTCAGGAAGGATGGCTCCAGAGCAGACTAATGTATGCAGTAGCCAAATCGCTCACTCGCAACTTTAATGTCAGTAGCTCACAAAGTACAATTTTTGCTCACAAGACTCCAGAGCTTAGAGGGAACATTGCTCACAATTATCCCTTTTTAATTATTTTTTATTTGATTTCTACCCCCCCCCCCCCCCCATATTTTCCCTTTTTTTTTTTTTTTTTTTTTTTTTTCCCCCCCCCCCCCCCCCGCATAGCAGGCTCAGGGTGGGTTCCATCATACCAAGTCAACAGTCACATAGATGTGCAAATAACAGTTAAACCCAATTAAAATAGTGATAGTCAGTGAGTGTGGACACCAGCATCACCTCATAAGGAGCAACATGTCCCATGCAGGTTCTGTTTTTGTCTTGAGCCCTAATGCAGCAGAAAGGGGCTTGGGGGACATGTCCCATAGTTATGACATGTCTTCTTGTTTCTGGTTGTCTTGCAGGGACCCTTCTGTGAAACGAACCATCTGTAAGTCCTGCTTCTCCCTTCTTGTCCCTGGAGTCAGCTCAACTGTACGCCAGAGGAGTAGGTGTCCCTTCACTGCTTCTCATTTGTAGCAGGGTCTGCATCCTCCTGAGTTCTGTCCCTTGGTTTGGATGGTTGACTAGCTCTGGGCAATGTTTTCCCATGCTGAAGAGGGACAGGGCGGTTGGACACAGCGAGTTCCAAAGAAGGGAGGAAACAGTCAGTCACACTGTTTACTTACCCCAGGCAGTAGGAAGGTTTATAGGATCATTTTCTTTGGAGGAAAGAAAGAGACTCTAAAGGTCTTTCACAGAAAGGTTTTACTTAGAAATGCTTGGATGAAGCAGCTAGCACAGGGACACATAAACAGGGACACATGCGGCATGCACCCCAAAAGCAGCATCAGCAAAGCGGAAACTCACAAGCTGCTTCTGCTAGCCAAATCCAAGCTTGTTCCTATTTATCTTTGCTCCCAGAGTTATAAAAGGAGGCTTAAAGGTACTGCTGGGTGAAACTTGACAGCGTCTTCATCCTGGCAGGTGGGCCTACTTGTGTGCCAGTTGCCTGGAACAACCAATGGTTCATTAGACTGTTGGTTTTGTTCTGTTGGAGGTGAGGCCACACCCAGTGTTTAACCTAAGAATAAAGAGGAAGGACATGCTGTTGAGTTGCAACTGGCTCAGGATGACCCCATCCATGGAGCATTCCAGGCTAATTTAGGTTAAACAAAGGTTAATTAGCCATTGCCTTCTTCTGCATAGAAGAAGAAGAAGAGAAGAGATGGGATTTATCCCCCGCCCTTCACTACCCAGAGGAGTCTCAGAGCGGCTTACAAACTCCTTTCCCTTCCTCTCCCCACAACAGACACCCTGTGAGGTGGGTGGGGCTGAGAGAACTCTTGGCACAAACTGCTCTTTTTCAAGGACAGCTGTGCCAGAGCTTGTGACTGACCCAAGGTCACATCAGCAGGTGCAAGTGGAAGAGTGGGGAATCAAACCTGGTTCTCCCAGATTAGAGTCCGCGCACTTAACCACTACACCAAACTAGCAGCCCCAGTCTCCCATGAAGAAGAAGAAGAAGAAGAGATTGGATTTATACCCCCGCCCTTCACTACCCAAAGGTGTCTCAGAGCGGCTTACAAACTCCCGGGGCTCTACTGGTAGCAGGAGCTCCTTTGCATATTAGGCCACACACCCCTAGTGTAGCCAATCCTCCAAGAGCTCTTCTTACTGGGGCTACTGTAAGCTCTTGGAGGATTGGCTACACTAGGGGGTGTGGCCTAATATGCAAAGAAGCTCCTGCTACCAGTAGACCCAACTCCTTTCCCTTCCCCTCCCCACAACAGACACCTTGTGAGGTGGATGGGGCTGAGAGAACTCTGACAGAAATGGCTCTTTTTCAAGAACAGCTCTTGTCAGAACTACGGCTTGCCCAAGGTCATCCAGCCAGGTGCAACTGGAGGAGTGGGGAATCAAACCCGGTTCTCCCAGATTAGAGTCCGCGCAATTAACCACTACACCAACTGGTGGTGTCACGTTCAAGTACTAGCCATGGCCAACCCTGCTTAGCTCCCAAGCCCTGACAGGCCCAGCATCTCAATAAGCCCAGTACAACAGAAGTGCTTGGAAGCGGAAGACTATCCCCTGCACTTTCTGGGCTCTGTAGCTTTCACCCTTCCTCAACAAAAGGAGTCAAGTTGTGTTTTGAAGCGTAACAGTAGCCTATTTTGGTTTCAGGAGCCACTAATCAGCAGATAAGTGGAGACAGGGAGAAACAGAATTTAGGGAGGTGAAGCAGGATCATGTTTTCAGGGCTTCCCTGACTCCTTCACTCCCTTGCCTCCTTAACCAGAGCGCCGTAATCAGCGGTGGACTGTTGTGAGGTGTCTCAACTGTGGCTTAACCAAGCGGTTCCCCAGCAACCCTGATTATAAGTTGTGGTCGGAGCAGCCTGAGGCATTACTGGAGAATCATACTGTTGCCGGTGAAGGAACAGAAGGTAAAGAAAATCTAAAGAAGAAATGTCTGTGGAGAGGGCGCAATGATTGGGAGCTTGAGAAGGATGGTGCTTAATTTGTAGGATTGTGCAGAAGGATTATGAGAGATCAGGGTTTACTTGTTTGAGCTGGGGTTTACTTGGAGGCCAACCGTAAACAAGCTGAGGTTGGTTTGGGGGTTAATTATGAGAGAAGATGGGAGGCCCGTGGTCAGAAGGAAATACCTCTCTTTGGGGTGTGTGAGGGAAAAGCCCTGGTGTTGAGGCCAAGGCCAAAGAAGCGTGGAAACTGTTGCAGGAGGAAAGACTTGGGATTGCTGTAGGAGGAAGACTTGGGGATTTGTGAGGGATGGAGTCAGAAGAGGCGGGGACTTATCATCGGAGGTCAGTGGGAAGAGAGCTGAGGTGTCTGAAAGAGCAAGGCCAGCAGTGAGGTAGCTGGCGTTCAAAGCCTCTGGATGTGGTATGTAAGTGAGGGCTTTTCCTTGGGGCTAACCATATTTGGGAACCAGAATGTGGGGACAGTACCACTTCAGACTACAAGTGAAGGGTTACTTTTTTTCGAACTTAACCTCCACATTAAGAATTTCCTATAAATGGAGAACCTGGGCCCCGGTCACACGGGCAGGAAACTGCAGAGGAGAAGCGTGGCTGTTTGCCCTGGGGCAAACTACTGCGCAGTTACGCGATCAGACCTCCTGTGGAGGTCCTGTGGAGGTACCGTGGAGGTTCCATGGCAAGGGAGAGGTGCTGATCACAAGACAAGCCGGCGCGCAACGAAGAAGCGCGCGCCGCGGCAAACTGTTTTTTATTTTTGTGTACATGACAAATGTGCATGCTCCGTTGGGTGCGCATGCGCATCCATAGAGACTGGGACAAAAAAAAAACACCTTATGTGCAAGGGGACATGGGCGGGCGCCGGATGCCACCAGAAACGCGATCAGACGCCCGCCCTTGCCCCGCAGTTTTCGGAAACTAGTACCTCCAAGGTACTAGTTTTTTGCCACGCAGTTTCGGCTGGAAGCCTCGGTTGAGCCACGGGAGTGCTACGCTTCCCAGATGTGCTGGTGAGATCGCGCCCGGAAACTCCGGCTGTTTTCCGTCTCACTTGTGTGGCTTCTGTTACGTGTGACCGCAGCCCTGGTACAGCATTCCAGTAGCTGAGCTATTCTTTTTTTTTTAATTTGTAGAGCGTTTTTACATAGGGGAGAATTAGAATGCATTCCCTCACACACACACAGTCTGAAGTGGTACAACCCATTCTGCCTGCTCTTTCTTCTCAATGTGTAGAGCAGGCCTCGGATGAATTGGATAGTGTGATAAGACGCTATGCAAAGTGAAGGAATGGGATTAATTTGCACAGACCAGGAGGGCCCTGTGGTTAAAGTGTAGAGCCCTTCTAGGAAATCTGGGGAAATCTGTTGGGAGGAGCGAGGATACGGGGCAGCCAAGTAGAATCATCTTACTGGAATCATCTTGTGTTCTTTATTTCCTTGTGTCTCTCTCCAGGCCAAACACACAGGCCAGTGCAGCAGTCCCTCAAAGCTTCTGGAACAGAGAAGGCAACAGGCCCGAGTGCCAGACCTCATGCTCATCCTGCCTCTGAAGAGACTGCAGTAGGCACCCAATCAAGGGAGAAGGGCCCAAGTGGAAAGTGACCCCCCCCCTTAAGAATGGACCCTTCCTGCTCCGTTGTGGGAAGTTCATATGGTAGCCCCAGAGCTGGAGGTAGAAGGAAGCCAATGTGGCTAACAAGATTATTTGAAAGGAATCATTGAGTAAAGCAAGCAAAAAGCCTGGCAAACCACTCGCAGGAGCTGAATGGCTCAGACATGATGGGCTTGGGGCATAAAGGTGCTTTTTATACAGGCCCCTTAAGGTAACTAGTTTTTAGGCAGAAGGCAGCCGAGTTCCCCCCGCCCTCCTCTAAAAGAGGCCTGATACCAAGCCATCTCCCGTTCCCACTGCCTGTGTTCCTCTCTGCCCTCCCACACACATTCCCAACAGCTCCAAATCACTTTTCTCACTTTTATTGCCCCATACATTCCTCTCTTTCAGTTGGCTTCCTTGAAGGGCTGAGTTCTCCCTCACAGTTGGATTTTACCTGGCTTTTACCAGTTGCTGACTTCAGTTATTGAGGATATGTGCCTGTGGAAGTCTCAAATTTGAGGGGGGAAATGAATGAACTTTCTTTTGGATTCGTAGGGAGGCATTGCTCCACTCCAGTCCTCGTTTTTATATGGGGAAAGTTAGCAGTGAACAAATCTGAAATAAAATCTTGTTTTAGAACGTCTGTGTTGTGAGCTTTTGTCTAATTGGCGGGCTGAATTTTTACCATTTCTGCTGAAGGAATAGGGTTGGGCAGAAATATAAAACAAAATGTTTCTGTGGTGGGTTTGGGGAATAAAGTTTAATTTGTTGCTTTTGGTAGGCTGTAGCATGTTTTAAATGTAAACATGAGAGAAATTCAAATAATAATGTAGAGCATGTCAGCCTATCCAGAAAATTACACATATGTGCATATGTATGAAATATATTGAGATGGTCTTTTCTCTAACCTGCAGAGGGCATCAGGGGACTTTAACATGGTTGTAGAATCAAGACTCTTGCTAAGTCTGGTTCTTGTGTGAGAGTACCACAGAACAGTACCGACGCCGCCACTATTCCACCACTGAGATTCCATTATCCATCTACCCCATTGGGGGGGGGGGGTAGATGTTGCCCAGCAGAAATGGGGAGAATATCATTCCTGGTGCTCATGCCATTAAAAAAGTCGGCCACCAATGTGGAATGTGCGCATCTTGGTGATTTTATGTAGATTATTAGAGCACCGATTTTATTATGTATGAAATATTGTTTTACTGTTTTACATTTTAAATTCGGCATTGCCGCTTGTTAGCCGCCCTGAGCCGCTGGGTAGGGCGGGATATAAATCCCAAAATAAATAAATAAACAGAACAGAAGTGGTGTTCCAAAAAATGTAGACTGCGGTCTGTGTAAATCTGGGCTAATTTTCCCCCCTTGGTTTGGTGTAGAACATAAGAAGAGACCAGCTGGATCAGACCAGTAGTCCAGCATCCTGTCTTACACAGTGGCTGACCAGCTCCTCTGGGGGGGCCAACAGCAGGGCATAGAGGCCAAAGCTTTCCCCTGATGTTGCCTCCTGGGTCCTGGCTCTGGGAGTCAGAGGTTTAGTGCCTCTGAATGTGGAGGTTCCCCTCAGTCACCATGGCTAGTAGCCATTGATAGACTTCATGAATCTATCTAATCCTCTTTAAAAGCTGTTTATTCCTGTGGCCATCATTACATCCTCTGGCAGCAAATTCCACATTTTAATCACATTCTGCATAACATCGTATTTCCACCATATACAGCATTGCTGTATCTAAGGGCTGTATAGAAATCTAAGGGCTGTACAGAAAGGGGCTTATTCTCAATAGTTCCCACCGTGTTCTATGGGAGAAAGTAAATAGGTTTGGGCGGGGCTCTATGTAGCAGGGAACTCCTTTGCATATTAGGCCACACACCCCTAATGTAGCCAATCCTCCAAGACCTTACAGAGCTCTTCTTACAGGAACTACTGTAAGCTCTTGGAGGATTGGCTACATTAGGGGTGTGTCGCCTAATATGCAAAGGCGTTCCTGCTACAAAAAGAGCCCTGGAACTTGGCATACAGTTGACAGGAAGCAAGCCTGACCCTCATCCTCAGTGATAGGGGTTCACCAGGGACAGGTTTTATTTTCTCAGCAATGTCCCCTTGTGCAGCTGGTTACTTTCTTGCATGTAAACGAATGGCTGTCATTCACTCATGGGGGGGAAACATAGTTCTGTACTTAAAACCCATGTTGCAGTAGGACGGATTCATCTACCGTTCTGCCAGTGGGTAGCCCAGCCCCTGTTGATGGTCCCTCCTAGGGGTTGCAACACACATCTGCAGAACTCTTGATGTTTTTCAGTGCTTCCTCAGTGTGGAAATGGGTCTGATAGAAAACAGGAAAACAGATGTCTTTCTTGAAGATTGTCTGATAACACACGTGTTGTGAAATAAAGACTACACTTCCTAAATTAAATGCCGGTTTATAAAATACCATAGCTTTGCAAAAAAAAAGTTTTATCGGACGGTGTGCAGAAAGACATTTGTAATCTGTCTGCGCTCTCTTCTCCTTGAGGTTGAGAGTTGTGTACAAAGGGACCCAGCAATTGCCTTGGAAGTTGAACTGCATGGCCAGTGGATCCTTTAGTTAGCCTTTTTTAATTTACAAAGGGAGATGACCTTCCAAGAGTTTCCTGCTTTCAAATGATACCCTTTAGCAACTGGCCGAGAAGCTTGGGATCTAGGCCATTCTGGTTTCTGCAGGGGCGGCTGGACTGCTGCGTACTGCAATCTTTCCTCCTTCCTAGCAGTTGCTACCAGCTTTCAGGGCGGCTGCAGCCTTAAGTGCTCAGGTAAGGATAAGCACGGTCCTGTAGCTCAGCCTGCCAGCATCTCCTCAGCCTGTCGTCTGGCCACCCTTAAATAGACCAGTATAGCCTGCACATGACCCTGTACATCCAGGCCTTCCTGATCCATTGCTGGTGCCCCGGTTGCTTAGACAACATAGTTGTGGCATCTGTTCCTTCCAGTTGCAAGAGAAGCCATGATGACACCTGGCATTGCCTTAACAGCCATGCCTTCCTTCTAGCCCTCCGGTACTCCTTATATGGGTCACTGCCCGATTTGTCGCACTCTCACATGAACTTGCCTTCTTCTGAGTCAGGCCATGGGTCCATCACAGTCAATATGATCTACACTGACTTGCAGCGGCTCTCCAAGGTCTCCTGTCAAGGCTTTCACTTCACCTCCATTAGAGGTCCATCTGGGGCTATTAGCCACAGGGTATAGGGGGAGCACTCTGGCTGATTTCCCACAAGCGCTGCTCCGCGCTCACTCCTTCCTTTTGTCCCGATGGCGCGTGTCAATTTCACACGAGCTGCTGCGCGGCCGCATTTTGCCCCGCAGCTTCACACGATTTCCCCAACGTCTACTCAGTCCTGTTTTTTGAGGATTGAGTAGACACGGGGGGAATCGCGCGAAGCTCCGGGGCGAAATGCAGCTGCGCAGCAGCTTGTGTGAAATTGACACGTGCCATCGGGGCAAAAGGGAGGAGTGAGTGCGGAGCAGCGCTTGTGGGGAATCGGCCTCTGTCTGGGGCAGTGATGCTCTTGTGTTCTTGGTGCTTGGGGGACTCGGAGTCTCAGAGTGGCTTACAAACTCCTTTCCCTTCCCCTCCCCACAACAGACACCCTGTGAGGTAGGTGGGGCTGAGAGAGATCTGAGAGAACTGCCCTTGAGGAAACAGCTCTGACAGAACTATGGCTTGTCCAAGGTCATCCAGCAGCTGCAAGTGGAGGAGTGGGGAATCAAACCCGGTTCTCCCAGATTAGAGTCCACACACTTAACCACTACACCAAACTATTGAATCATAGCAAAGGCTCTTTATCTACGATACTGTGAGCAGCATTAGCCAGCCACACAGCTTTGGATGCTCATAAAGATGGCAGCTTTCCCCTTTTGTTTTTTTTTTCCCCCCTCCCCCCCCCCCCAAGCATTCTAAGGAGAAATAAGTTCAGTGGAAGACAGTGAAGATGATCAAGGGTCTAGAAAACTATAAAACCCGTTCAAAGACCTATGGCAGCAGCAAAGAAATCCTACTTCTCTCTGCCACCATTGCAGCAGCTAGTTTGTGACTCTTTTGCAATGTTTTGTTGCGCTGTTTTGCAATGTTTTGGTTTTTTTGGTTTGGCTTTTGCTGAAAAAAATCTTTCAAATGACCCAAGGTCACGCCAGCAGCTGCATGTGGAGGAGTGGGGAATCAAACCTGGTTCTCCAAGATTGGAGTCCGGGCTCCTAACCACTACACCAAATTGGTGTAAGAGCCCTACTGGATCAGACCAATAGTTCATCTAGTCCAGCATCTTGTCTCTCACAGTTGCCAACCATTTCCTCTGGAGTGCCAACAACAGGATAGACAAGCCAAGGCCTTCCCCTGGTGTTGCCTCCTGACTCTGGGATTCAGAGGCTTAGTGCCTCTGAATGTGGGGGTTCCCCTCAACCACCATGGCTGGGAGCCATTGATAGACTTATCCTCCAAGAATCTATCGAATCCCCTTTTAAAGTTGTTTATTCTTGTGACCATCACTACATCCTCTGGCAGCGAATTCCACATTTTAATCACTCTCTGTGTAAAGTAGTATAAAGACTTTGCCTCTTTGTTGTTCTTACTGGGTTTAGCAGCAACGCTTGATACCGTGGGGACCATCCCCTCTCGCTCATGCATCTGGAGGCAGAATTAGAGATTGAGAGGTGTGCCTTGGATTGGTTTTCATCGTTGCTTATGGGCAGGACTCAGGGATGCTGTTGGAGACTAGTGGTCATCAGTCGGGATGGGGTTATAGTCCCCTTGAATAGCCAGGTCCACAGCTTGGGAGTGCTGCTGGACAAAGTGGCTGCAGTGGTCTGGAGTGCTTTTGCCCAGCTCCAAATGGTGCATCGGCTGCCTGGCTCAGTCTGATCTTGCCACGTGACCCAGACCGTAGTTACATCTAGATTGCAATGCACTCTACTAGTCTAGATTCTGTGGGTAGGGCTTGGTTGACCATTAAGAGAAACTTCCTACGTTTGACAACAGAACCAGTTCTGTGGGGGTAAGGGGGCTCTCCTTTGCTGGAGGACTTTGAGCAGAAGCTGGAGACTCATCTGTCCAGATTTCCTGCATGGAGGAAGGGATCTGGCTCATTGGCCTATAAAGCCTGCAGGATTGTCAGTTCCAGGCTGGGAAATAACTGGAGATTTGGAGGTGGAGGCTGGGGAACGTGGGGAGTGGGGAGGGGAGGGAGCACAGCAGGATATCATGCCATAGAGTCCACCCTCCAAAGCAGCTGTTTTCTCCAAGGGAACTGATCTCTTTTGTCTGGATATCAGTTGTAATTCTGGGAGACCTCGAGGTTCCACCTGGAGGGTGGCAACCACAGAACTGTGAATCTTAAGTCCTCCCCCCCCATCACAAATCTCCTACGTCATGTGCCAAATCCCTAAATTCCATAAAATATTAGCATATGAAATTGCCTTATACCAAGTCAGGCTATTGCTCCTTTACTTCAATACTTTCTACTTGACTCTCCAGTTCTCCAGAGCCTCCAGCAGAGAAGGGTCTCCCCCCCCCACACTCCTGCTTCTATGCTTCATTGGTTCCCACAGTGTGCAAGACTGAAGAGTTCAGAAGGGCATTCTTATTGAGGGATCAGAATGACAGTATAATAGAACCGCATCCGCTCAAGAGGTAGCTTCGATGAAAGACAGTAAAGAAGGAGGAGGAGGAGGAGATTGGATTTATACCCCACCCTTCACTTGGAGTCTCAGAGTGGCTCACAAACTCCTTTCCCTTCCCCTCCCCACAACAGATACCCTGTGAGGTAGGTGGGGCTGAGAGAGCTCTTTCCAGAACTGTCCTTGAGAGAAGAACTCCGACAGAACTATGGCTTGCCCAAGGTCATCTAGCAGCTGCAAGAGGAGGAGTGGGGAATCAAACCCGATTCTCCCAGATTAGAGTCCATGCACTTAACCACTACACCAAACTAGCATGTGAGGTTGCTTCTATAAAAGATAGTTAGCAAGCTGCAGTGTTTATTTTGTGTATCACCACCACCACCGTTTTTCCTGCAATTCAATGACTTTTTCCTTTTTAACCCACTCTTTAGTATGGTAGGTGTAACTTCAGGCAGATCTTTACCTGTGTTGACTGTTTTGTTGCCTTAAGACAGTTTTTCGTTTTTAAAAAATTGCTTTCATTGTTTTCCAGTTCTTCTGTCCTGGTTCCAGTGCATTGGGTTTTTTGTTTGAGATCTTTGCTGTTTGACTGAAGTGTTCGTGTAATATTTTGTAATCCACTTTGACTTTCAGTGAAAGGGGGGGCGATAAATGAAGTTCATCATCATCATAATGATAGCTCAAACCAGCAAGTGGATTTTGAGACTCAGGACTTTGGTCCCTGGGTGATTAAACAGGGATTCAACCTGTACCCGTCTGCATGCAAAGCAGGTGACCCTCAGCTACATGTGGCCCCTCATCAAATTCTTTTCTGTTTGTGGAAAAGAATCTTCTTATCTTGTCCAAAAACCTTTTATTCCTGCCCATGTACAAGATGTCTCTCATGTTTGGCAATACTGTTTCCGTTGTCTCTTCACGTGAACATCACAGCTAATGTATCTTATGCAGGCTCCTCCCACTGTGATTGGCAAAGCCTGTTGAGCAATTTCTTTCAAAATAAATAATGCCAGTTTCTTGCCCCCTCCACATGTTACAGGAAAGCCGACTGATACACCGAGAGCTGAACAGAAACCATTGCTGAAGGAGGAGGATGCACGAGAGGGGTGAGTCGGCTGTCTCAAAGAACCATTTGTGTCAGGTGACAGGAAAGAGAAGAGGGGAGGGGTTCTTGTCAGGGAGACGAAATCCCAGAATGCTCTGCTCCAAGCAAGTAGATTTCTTCTCCCAGCTGAGTTCCTGACTCACTCATGGACATTTGATTCCTATAGCCTCCTGGTTGGCAACAACCACCTAGAGACAATTGGTGCAGTGGGAGAATTTATTTTCATTCACTCTAAGAACTCTGCACGCTCCACATCTGAAATACCGTAAATAAATAAAACTGGAATTGCCCACTTAAATGAATGCTAGGAAGAGTTCAAAGCAATAGGAAAAGAGGAAGGCCCAACATGAGATGGTTTGACTGGAGGAATCCGCAGCCCTCCATTAGCAAGACCCAAGCAAGGCTGATAACAATAGGGTGTTTGGGGGGTCATTAGTTCATAGGGTTGCCATAAGTCGGAAGCAACCTGAGAGTGCTGAATAGACATACACCAGACCTAAGTCCTGACTCAAATGTGATGCTGGCTGAAGTGAAAACTCTCTTCTATGGGGCTTTGTACTCACAACAGTGACAACACTGGGGCTGTTTGTCCACACTTTGGTGCTTCCGTGCACCTCCTGGGCTTTCTTTCCTGCGACTGAGGGGGGCCTGGATGTCCAATACATATAGGTTCTAATTCTAAACATTCATGAGGAGGACTCTGCACAGGGGACACAGAAACCTCCTAAGTAAATAGATTCTAATCTTAACACCTAGGATGTTCATCTAGTCGAGTATACTTATCATACTGGCCAAGAGTAGGATTAGCAAGGGGGGAATGGCTTGTATTCCTTTTTGTAGCTTCTTCTGGGATGCTTCCCTTTCAGGTGCTGCAATGACTAGTCTCCTCCTTTGGTTGAGCTTCCTGGTCCTTTCCCTTCTGGAACACAAGTCCTTTGCTGAAGATGAGACTGTGGTAGTCACCAGCAGTGGCTCTGTCCGGGGAAAGCATCTCCCAGCTGGCTCAAGAAACGTCACAGCCTATCTGGGCATCCCCTATGCAGAACCCCCTGTGGGGAAATTGCGTTTCCAGAAGCCTGTTCCCCATACGCCATGGAGCCACATCCTGGAAGCCACCAACTTTGGCAATTCATGCCCCCAAGTAGTTATTTCGGGGACTCCTGATGCCGCCATATTCAATGCCAACACTCCCCATTCGGAGGACTGTCTCTTCCTCAATGTCTGGGTGCCCCATCCCCGGCCCTCCACACCAGCTGCTGTCCTTGTCTGGATCTATGGTGGTGGGTTTTTTTTCGGCACAGCTTCCCTGGTCATATATGACGGGGCATTCTTAGCTGCGACCGAGAATGTCGTTGTGGTCTCCATGAATTACCGTCTGGGAGCTCTAGGCTTCCTTTCATTACCCCCAGCTGCCCCAGGAAACGTGGGCCTGTTGGACCAGCAGTTGGCCCTAAGATGGGTGAGAGGGAATGCAGCTGCTTTCGGAGGAGACCCTACTCGGATAACCATTTTTGGCGAAAGTGCTGGAGGAGTGTCTGTCAACTATCACCTCCTCTCACCGGGGAGTCAGTCTCTATTTGACCGTGCTGTGGTGCAGAGTGGAACGGCCATTGCACCCTGGGCTTGGGTGAGTCCTGAGGAGGCAAAGAGGAATGCCTTGGGCCTGGCCAAGCTGATGGGCTGTACAGAAGGTGAGGAAAGGGCCATAGTGAGTTGCTTGCAGGAAAAGAAAGTGGAAGAATATCCAATACAAACATTGTTGCTTCAGGATCGCAAGAGCACTGTGAACTTTCCCACTGTACCAACAACAGATGGAGATTTCCTTCCTGATGACCCACAGAAACTTGTGGAGTCCAGGCGCTTTCAGTCTAAGCCTATCATGATTGGTACCACCTCTGACGAGGGGTCCATGTTTGTCTTCTATGCTGCTCCTTTCTTACATGCACGCAATGAATGCCTTTTGACCTGGGAGCAGCTCTTGGAGGGGTTGAAGATGAATGTACGCAATGCCACAGAAGAGTTCATCCAATCCATTGCTCTGAGGTACAGCGAAGCGGAACCCGAGGGCCCAGCACGCTATCGTTCTGCCTTGTCCCAGGCCTGGGGCGATTACCTCTTTGTATGTCCAGCTAACAAAATTGCCTCAGAGATGGCAAAGACTGGAAGCCCTGTCTATGCTTACACTTTCACCCATCGCAGCAATGGCTCCATCTGGCCTGAATGGATGGGGTCCAACCATGGATCTGAGGTCCCATACCTTTTTGGAACTCTGACCTTATTACCGGGAACCAATGTAACTCACACAGAGGCGGAGTTAGAGCTAATCCCTCGAGTGATGCGATACTGGGCGGAGTTTGCGAGAAGCGGGTAAGAGAACTGCTTACTTACGCTTGTTCACCATCCCTGGCTCAGAAGATACAGAAGGTAGCACTTCCCTAAGGTTTCTCTGTCACAGAACATGTTGGGAACTGGCATCTCCTCTAAATGCATGCCAGTGTCAGTCACCTGTGAGAGGAAATGCCAGCTTGTTGACTAGTAATAACCGCAGCTTGTTTGCTAGAAATAACATTGGTTCAATGTATATGTTTATTTTTGTTCATTAGTGGGTTCCATGGATGAGCTGACCCCAAGTCTAGTGATCAGCTCTACTTTATTAGTGATTACAGCAAGAACAAGCCTGAACTCCAGGGCCGCAGCCCTGTTTAAATAGCATGCAATTGCTACACCCAAACACACCCCACTCCCAACGATAGGCAATTTATATAACATTACTTCTTGATTTGTTACTTCCAGAGTCCTGGTGGGCTATTGTTCTTGTGCTCCAAGCTCAGCCCATCTCTGGTAGAACAGTCCTGGGATGTTTCAGTCCCAATACATAACAATTATAAAGTAAAGGTAAAGGTTCCCTTGCTCGAAAGCCAGTCGAATCCGACTCTAGGGTTGTGGTGCTCATCTCCGTTTCAAAGCCAAAGAGCCAGCACTGTCCGAAGACGTTTCCGTGGTCATGTGGCCGGCATGACTAAACACCAAGGCGCATGGAACGCTGTTACCTTCCCACTGAAGTGGTACCTATTTACCTACTTGCAATTTCTTAAGAACATAAGAGATGCCAAAGTTAGATCAGGCTAAAGGCCCATCCAGTCCAACACTCTGTGTAACACAGTGGCCAGAAATACCAGTGCCATCAGGAGGTCCACCAGTGGGGCCAGGACACTAGAAGCCCTCCCACTGTTGACCCCCCCTAGCACCAAGAAGACAGAGCCCCTATCTATGCCTTGTAGCTAATAGCCACTGATGGACCTCTGCTCCATATGCTTATCTAATTCCCTTTCGAAGCTGTCCATGCTTGTAGCCGTCACCACTTCCTGTGGCAGTGAATTCCATGCGTTAATCACTCTTTGGCTGAAGAAGTACTTCCTTTTATCCGTTCTAACCCGACCACTCAGCAATTCCATTGAGTGCCCACGAGTTCTTGTATTGTGAGAAAGGGAGAAATGTACCTCTTTCTCTACCTGCTCTTTCCCATGTATAATCTTATAAACCTCGATCATGTCTCCCCTCAGTCATAGTTTCTCCAAGCTAAAGAGCCCTAAGCGCTTTAACCTTTCCTCATAGGGAAAGTGTTCCAACCCTTTTATCATTCGAGTTGCCCCTTTCTGCACTTTGTCCAAAGCTATAATATCCTTTTTAAGGTGTGGTGACCAGAACTGCACACAGTATTCCAAATGAGGTCGTCGCATAATTGATTTATATAGGGGCATTATGATATTGGCTGATCTGTTTTCAATACCCTTCCTAATAATCCCCAGCATAGCATTGGCCTTCTTTATTGCAGTCACACACTGTCTCGACATTTTCAGTGAGTTATCTACTACAACTCCAGGATCTCTCTCTTGATCAGTCTCTGCCAGTTCAGACGCCATCAATGTGTGTTATATTTAGGATTTTTGGCTCCAGAACTACCGACCTTCCACAGCCTGCAGTTCAGCGTCTTAACCACTTGAGCCACTGCAGCTCCTATTACAATTATAGACCTTTCTTCTTATTAGTTAGTACATTTTTATCCTACTCTTCCTCCAAGGGACTTTAGCCACTGTACTGCTTTCTCCCCTTGTCCATTTTAATCTTGTAACAGCCCTGTGAGGTACATAGGTAGAGAGAGAGAGAGAGAGACTGGCCCAAAGGTCACCCAAGCAAGTTTCATGCCAGAATCAGGATCTGAACATGGATTTCCTGGATCCCACACTCCAACCATTCCACCATGCTGACTTTTATGCCCTTCTTGTGGACAGTAATATTTCTCTTCTGCCTTTTGATATTAAACTTCCAAGGTCACTAGGGAAAGCAATTATTTACTAAGAAGAATGAAATAACAATAAATCAGAAAGTTTTTTTCCCCAAAAAATTACAGGTGCAGCAAAAAGCAAGTTTGTCCTTAAAAGCTTGGGGGAAATAAAGTTGTCTGAACGTGGCACCCAGAAAATACAGGAGCAGGTATCTGGCACGTATCTCTGGGGAGGATATTCCACAACTGGGTCTTCCCCACAGAAAAGGCCTTTGCTCTGGTCGTTGCCTGCCTAATTTCAGAAGTCAGGATCACTCAAGTCACCACTTCTATGTGGAGGATCTTAAAATGGCAGCCCCATTTGTTTGTGGTGCCATTGACAAGGACCTGGCTTTTAGATACATGTTGACAGGGATGAAAGCTTTTCCAGCTCTAATTAATGTTAAATCAGTACTCTATTTACAAATCACAAATGTGAGTGGAATATGTTGCAGGAACCTTACCAAGGTATGTATTTTACTGAGTGTTTTGTATTTACCACTGTAACCCATCTTGGGTCTCAGTGAGACAGGTGAAGTTAGTAAATGGATAAATACGTAACCAGTCAACATATATTGTGTACACAGACCTCTGACTTTGTGGATCATGATATTTTTGCCTCCTGTGCAGCAATCCCACCCCATCAGATGTCAATGAGACAAAATGGCCGCTCTACAACCCTGCAGAGCAGAACTTCTTTCACATCAGCACAGAGCCACCTCAAGTTATGAAGCCCTCACCCGCCCAGCACTGCAGTTTATGGAAGGCACTCTTATCAAGTGAGTTGAGGCCCTAAAAGAGGGAGGAGGAGCCCAAATCTACTCCCTGAGGTAGACATTCCCCCATAACTTGTGGTTCGTTGGTTGGAATCCTGGTCAAACTAAATGACAACACAATGCTAAGGCCATTCTGGAACTGGTTAGGTAGCAACTGAGCCTCTCTGTTTTGATTCCTGCACCATAACTGGTCAGTGCAGGGGTCATTTCGTAGAAAAAGAGGTGCAGGAGCTCATTAGCATAACTCATTGGCATATCTTATTTGCATATGTCACACCCCCTGACATCACCAGAAGTGTGTCAGAAGGCAACACCCACCGCTCAGGCTCCAATGGGCTGTTTTGGATTGTTAGCTATTGGGGGGGGAACGTGCAGATCTGTCCTCGCAGAGGAGGGAGAGCTTGTACCTGAATAAAACTTGGTCTTAAAGGTGCCACTGGACTGTTTCGGACCGGGGGCCAGGGGGCTCTGCAACTTAACTGGCTGCTTCTTGCTCTGACTGAGTGCTGCTGGGAGAAGGGGGTGGGGCTTGTTGCATGTGCCCGCCCCCTGGGCTCTTTATTGCCGGAGCTCCGCTCCTGTGCACTCCTGCAGGAAATGACCCCTGGATGAGACAAATTAGTACCTAGAATGAAGTGTGAGTCCAGTGGGGCACCTTTAAGACCAACAAAGTTTAATTCTGGGTATAAGCTTTCGTGTGCACGCACACTTCTTCAGATATACTGAAACAGATGTCACCAACCATTACATAGAATTAGAGGATGGGGAGGGTGCCTTCTGCCTATATGGAATGGCTGGTGACTTCCATCCAGTGCACACAAAAGCTTGTACCCAGATATAAAACTTTGTTCGTCTTAAAGGTGCCGCTGGACTCCAACTTTCTTCTGCTGCTTCAGACCAACAGGGCTACCCCACCCGAACAGTACCTAGAAAAAAGTGACAATCCCTCTCGCTTCGTTGTCCTTCCTCTCCCCCAGGAATTCTGTGTGAGTCTTTGATGGACAGTTGTCAGCCAAACCCATGCCTCAATGGTGGAAGCTGCCAGGCAGTGCCCGACACTCCTCTGGAATTCACCTGTCACTGTCCCCAGGTAAGAACGGAGCTGGCCAAATACATCTGGATTGCCAAGACGGATTGTAAACGGGAGCCAGATTTCTAAAATAAGAGGTAGACAAACAACGACAATAATAATAATCCTATGGCAGTGTGTGTAGTATAGCCAGGAGATACTAAGATAGTCCGGCAGACGGAAGTTCTAGTTCTTTTAGTGTTTATGCACCACCCGGGTAAATTTTTTTGATAAAGGGAGGGGGGGGGGGTTTCTACTGATTCCGGACAGGGTTTTGTGTTTTTTTTTAATTCAGAGGAAAGCTAGAGTGAAGCTTTTGATTGTGCTGTCGCTCAAATAAAGGTAGTTTGTTGAGGCCAAAAACACCCCGTCTTCTTTCTCTACTTAGGGCTATGACGGAACCACCTGTGACCTGCACGCTCCTCCGTGTGGGATCCTCTATTGCCATAATGGAGGGGTCTGCATTTCCCACCCATCTGGGCCCCAGTGCCTCTGCTCAGGAGGGTTCTCTGGACCAGACTGCCGCCTGTCTCCGTGCTCTTCTTCCTGCCCCGCTCCCAACACTACCGTTGACTGCCAGCAGGTGGCAGGAGATGGACGCTGCGACCGAGCCTGCAGCTCCCCGGAGACCCGCTGGGATGGAGGGGACTGTTCCCTGGGGGTGCTGGACCCCTGGGAAAACTGCCCCAGGCGGGACCTGTGCTGGATGGCTTTCCGGGACGGACAGTGCCACCGCCACTGCGATAACGAGGATTGCCTGTTCGACGGCTACGATTGCAGCCAGCAGATGCAGTGCAAGTGAGTTGCCACCCATGGATATGCATGAGAAGGTTGCTCACAGGGCTATAGATAAATGCCCTGGCTCTTTTAATAGAGGCTTAATACATAGGAATGGGCAGCTGAAGCTTTTCATAGAGATAACAGCATAAGAGCATAAGAGAAGCCATGTTGGATCAGGCCAGTGGCCCCTCCAGTCCAACACTCTGTGTCCAAAACCCAGGGGCCATCAGGAGGTCCACCAGCAGGGCCAGATCTCCAGAAGCTCTCCCACTGTTGCCCTCCCCAAGCACCAAGAATACCGAGCATCACTACCCCAGACATAGTGCTCCATCTATACCTTGTGGCCAATAGCCATTGATGGGCCTCTGCTCAATATGTTTATCCAGTCCCCTCCTGAAGCTGTCCATGCTTGTAGCCACCCCTTCCCACAGAAAAGATGAACGACATCCTATGTGTGTGCATAAAATCCCATTAAATCACAGCTGGAGCAAGGGGCTTCCCAGGCAAGTGAGAAGCAGAGGTGGTTTGCCGTTGCCTTCCTCTGCAGAGTCTTCCGTGATGGCCCCCCTTCCAAGTACTGACCCTGCATAGCTTCTGAGACCTGGCGAGATCAGGCTATACCACGCTGCCTTCCCTCCCAACTTACTATTAAGCAGGGGTAATTTCGTAGAAAAAGAAATGCAGGAGCTCCTTAGCATAACTCATTAGCATAACATATTTGCATATGCCACACCCCCTGACATCACCGGAAGTGTGTCATAAGGCAACACCCACCGCTCAGGCTCCACTGGACTGTTTTGGCAGGAAATGACCCCTGCTATTAAGCCTCTGTTTCTCGACAGCTTTTCTCTTTCTCTCTCTCTTTTGGTGTGTAGTCGTGGGCTTCAAGGCAAGAGATGTTCAGAGGTGGCTGCTTGCCATTGCCTGCCGCAGTGTAGCAACCCTGGGCTTCCCGGGGGGGGGGGGGGGTCCCCCATCCAAGTACGAAACAGGGCC